TAAAAAAAAAACAATAATTGCATTTTTTATTTCAATAACGCATGAGTAAATAGGGATATGAACGCAGATTTAATATAGGCCCATAGAATTACGGGGACCGGCAAGGATTTGGAAAGTCTGAATGCAAGTCCTGCTTACACCTAACAAGTGCTGAAGTGGGACATAACCAGAGGTAGAAAGGTCTCGGAAGCACTTGGGAAGAGGCTTCCCAAGATCTATCCAGTTCTGAACGGAGAGACCTAAGTAGAATTTGTCAGGTTCAATTATTCGACTCGGGTACCCATTTATGCGTGGAGTGACTCGCAAATAGCACTCGCCTGGCTGCAAAAACATGCATCACACTGGCCGACATATGTCACAAATCGAGTTTCGGACATCCAGATTAGACTCCCAACAGCCAATTGGCATCACGTCCCAACCACATCGAACCCAGCTGACTGCTTCTCGTGGAATTTTGCCTGCGGATCTAGTCACGCATGATTTTTGGTGGACTGCACTAAAATGGCTAAAACTTGATGCAAGTCAATGGCCACAACAAAGATCCACTCAACTCTTCAAACAAGAACTAAGGAACATTCAACGCTACAACGCGGGAAATTCAGGTACTTGGTGATTATGCGTTAGGTGACATCCTTGAACTATCTCACCGTGTCTCCTCATGGCAGAAGATCCTGAGAATCACAGCCTACTATTTGAAGCCCTTGAACGTATTGAGAAGACGTCAACCACGACTCATTTATCGCCTTAATGGAAAAATCACATGATTTTTGGATTAGACAAACGTAGCGAGGCACATTTGAGAGCCAAATTGGTCTCCTGCAAGCAAATCAGCAAATTCCAACCAAGGATAAACTGCTCCCACTCCACCCCGTGATAGATAACAATGGCATCATGAGAATGAACGGACGTATTGCCAAGGCAACAGTCTTGTACGAAGAGAACCATTCCATAATTGTGCTCACTGGAAGAATAGCGGAGCTGATCATCGATGATATTCACCGAAGGACGCTACATGGAGGTCTCCAGCTGAAATTAAGTACCCTGAGACAAAAGTATTGGATCTTGAACGCGAGATGCCTCGTCAAGAGCCACATCCACAAATGCGTGAAATGCATTCGATACGACGGGAAATCCGCTCACCAAATCATGTCGGCTCTCCCTCCAGAACGCGTAACACCTTCACCACTCTTCGTACACACAGGACTAGACTATGCTGGACCCGTCAACCTTCGCAAGACCCCAGACCGCGGACATGAATCGCATAAGGGCTAAATCGCACTCTTCGTGTGTATGGTCAATCGCGCAATGTACTTGGAACTAGTGTCCGACCATTCAACACCGACATTCATGGCTGCATTCAACCGATTCGCGTCACGTCGTGGATTACCATCGGATTTATACAGCGACAATGGCACCACCTGCCAAGGAGCAGAACGCGAACTCAAGGAAGTCATAGACGAGTTGTACCAGAACCCCGATGTGCAAGCCAACATCGCAACGAAGACGATCGAGTGGCACTTCATCCCTCCCAGCTCACCACATTTCGGTGAACTTTGGGAAGCAGAAGTGAAGTCAGTGAAAAACCTGATGAAGAGACTATTGGACGACTGCACGCCCACCTTCGAGGAATGGAGTACTCTGCTCAGTAAAATCGAGTGCAACTGAAACTCGAGACCATTTGGACTCCTCCGCGAGGATCCTAAAGACATCGTGGTCTTAACTCCCAGACACTTTCTCATCGGTAAACCATTGAACGCGATTCCAGCCTCCTCCACATTAGAGCTGAACTCGAACAAGTTGTCGCATTGGCAGTTCATTCACCATGTCAACGACAACTTTTGAAATCGCTGAAGGAGTGAATATCTCCACATGTTACAGACCCGATAGAAATAGCGCACAGAACAGGAGAACTTACAAATTAATGACGTAGTTCTCATTAAGGACCTTGCAACTCCACCAAGCAATTGGCCTCTAGTACGCGACATTGAAACTTACCCAGGACAGGACGGCAAGGTCAGAACTGTAAAGGTGAAGACAAGCACTTCAACGTACACTCGACCAATAGTGAAGTTGATTCCCCTCCGCGTGGGAGACGTCATAGCGGGCGGTAAACGTTTTCAAGCTGTTTCTGATTGTAACTCTTTCGTGTTAATTACTGGAGAACGACACGGTCGGTATGATCGCGATTGCGAGTATAACCGCGCTAGCACTTGAAGGCAATCACGTGAGCCTCGAAATCCATGATCATCGCCTGATCAGCTGGTCAGCGCGCCGAATTGTGCAGTTACCTTTTGGACACTGAGACTGTTAATCGTAGCTCCCTGAATGATAAACATATTTGCGTTGATTTACGTAATACCTAAAATGTATATAACTTGAGTTGTGCAATTAAATATTGTTTTCTTTAATTGGTGTTTAATTAGTTCTCTCAATCCCGGCACCTCGTGATTAACAATCCGCGGTAAAATTAAATAACAATTCAGATTTTAAAGGCAATCGTGAACAATGCTCAAAAGATAGTAGGGATTGTCACCAGTCGTTTCAACGAATTATGAATAATGAAAGAAAAAGTTCATCGAATTTAATTGGGTGAGAAAGAAAATCTCTTGTAATCTATGGTGAATCAGGAAGAATGTACCTGTTGAAAAAAAAATAAAATCTAGGAAAATGACCTTCATTTCCATGATTTATTGAGCATTGATTAGCAGTACTTAAATCTCCTGAATATCATAACCCATCCGTCGCTTAAATCCGAAAATTAGCTTTTAAACAATATCTCGGAATAGAAAGGCGATACAAGGATTTTTATAATATCCTTTTTTATAAACCTCATTCTTCCCTACAAAAAAGGTCTTAGCCGAGAAATCGCCATTTTGCTCCAATCTTGAGATATTGTAAAAAACTAATTGGCAATCAAATCTTGAGATAATTTTTTAATGAATACTCTAAATCTACGGTGGGAGAAAGCATTTTTATAAAAGCTGTTTTGTACGCATTCTGCTCTGTAAAAAAGATTTTTACACAAAATTCTCTACCCCTTTTAAATGTTGAGATATTTTCCATATGTTACCATCAATCGAGTGCTTCATGGAAAAACTTACTCCATTGACACCAGATCGATCATTTTTGACAATAATTTGTTTAAACAAAAGACAAAAATTTTTAATTATGTGGAGGTGAGCAGGTTGATGGAAAGATGTGTAGTCCAACGTTGAGCGAAATTGAGTTTATTGTGTTCCCTTGAGTTTCTTTTTTATGTACAAAATATACAATGTTGTCGAGAGCGTAAGTCGTAAGAGGACTTGTACTCTGCACGATGAAGTTGAGTGTTCGAATGATGGACGTGGAATGATGATGAGTGTGGAAAGTGTGCGATATTTAAGTGGAGTGCAAGGAGGTGATTGGTGGAAAATTTGGAGAAGGGATGAGTGAAACCCTGGCTTCCGATTGGTTCGGCGCTGTAAGTTTTCGCCGGTGAGCTGTGATTGCCTCGAGGGTCCCGGCGGAGAAATTTCCGTCATGACGTCACAGGCGCCGGTCAGGCGGACGAGGGATTATGGACGCCAGGTGATGATGAGGGATTAGGACGCACGGAGGATTATGGCAATAACCATAAATGCGATGGACTGTTTATGGTAGGGAAGTTTTGAGGATTAGGTTTTAATTTTCTGTGTGAGAGAGATGGAGTGATTTGGGAATTGGCCCACTGTCGAGACAAGGGCATAGTGGAGACACAGTCACTATAAAAATTGCATATTTTTTATTGAAATATTAGGAAATTGTATATAGAAGTATATAGAAGTGGGGCTTGGAAAGGGCCCTCACAATTTTTCCTTGTGGGAATTCGGTAAAGGATAGATGGGTTTTGTAACGTATACCGCTCGAAATTAATATATATCGAATTAGATTTATTCACAGCAAACGTAACATTGGTTTACACCATGAGAGCTGGAACGAGAGTGAGCTCCCGCGATAACGATATAAATCATCCGATCGAGGATGTCCGAATTATTAAGCATCGCCGCGAAGATGTCCTGCGACAAGGACCGCGATATATCAGCTGATACGTGTCGCGGTAAAGTATTCGGTTGCTAAGTCAAGCTCGAACACAATACATTCAAATAATCTGAAATAAATATATAAGTTAAATTAAAAAGTGGAAGATTCTTTGACCGTGATAATAGATAAAAATGGATGTTAAGTGGCCTTGCGGTTGACCGCACTTAACATTCATTTTTAAATATATAAGTCCCTTCGCTACATTTTTTTCTTTTATTTTGTTCCTGTTTAGTTTTTCCTATATTTTATCCTATAGGAAATCCTATTTGCAAAATCCTATACGAAATATTCGCATTCTCAATAAGATTTTTTTCATTTATGAATGAGTGATTTTTCTCCTTTCGAAGTCATAGACCGAAATATTAATAATTAATCCCAATGTGTTTCACAGAATGAAGTTAATGCTATAAAATGGGACCCACAAGGAAATCTACTTGCCAGTTGTTCCGACGACATGAGTTTAAAAATCTGGTCGATGAAGCAAGACACTTGGGTTCACAATCTCCAAGCGCATAACAAGGAAATCTACACAATAAAATGGTCGCCGACCGGACCAGGAACACAAAATCCTAATATGAACTTGACACTGGCCAGTGCCTCGTTCGACTCAACCGTGAGACTGTGGGATGTGGAACGGGGCGCCTGCATACACACGTTGACAAAACACACCGAACCAGTTTACAGTGTTGCTTTCAGTCCGGATGGTAAATTTCTGGCGAGTGGAAGTTTTGACAAGTGCGTTCACATCTGGTCTACACAGGTAAACCCGTGAAATTCAATGTTCATTGTACATCCTTACGATGTTTACGGAATGTTTTAAGAAATATTTAATTTTCTCCTTTTATTTTTCTTACAGAGTGGACAATTAGTGCATAGTTACAAGGGAACAGGCGGAATATTCGAGGTGTGTTGGAACAGCAGGGGTGATAAAGTTGGTGCCTCAGCATCTGATGGCAGTGTATTTGTTCTTGATCTTCGTAAACTGTGATCATCCGGCGGAATTGAGTTTCGATACACTGCTTATCCTTTTTGGCAGCTCGATTTTCATTCAAGGAAAATTCTGTTTTTATTTCAATTGTTTATATGATTTTCGAATCCTTGTGACCCACTTATAAATAGAAAACGAATCGTAAATTTGAAGTGTAAAACAATAATTCATTAGTAAAATAAGATAGAAGTAAAAAATTTGAATGAATATCTGTGAATATGTCTGAAGGTGATAGATTTGGGTAGAATGTCGAGATATTTTTAATAGTTGATCTGGTTTTGTACAGTGTTCTGAATAATTTTTCGGACTTTCACTTTCGAATGGATTGATTAAATATTACTTCACTACTCAATTAGCAACAGAACAATTGTACCGAAAATTACAAAATAATCCGCCTTTCAAGAGTGAAGTGGTGAGAATTACATCTATTTTTGGAAGTGGTGATTTTAAGAGAAAATATCAGAAAAACCACTCAGAACTGAGGAAAAATTTGAGCTACAATACTCCAAGACCTTCAAAATTATCGGATATTTCTTGAATGTTTGCTTGCATAGCAACGAGAGGGATGAGTTGTGTAGGTTGAAATGCCAAGCGCGCAGACCGAGGGTTTTATTGCAAAACTTATCTCGATCGTTGATATGCAGGAAAACTTGAGGGAAATATCAGATGAATTTTGAAGGTACAGGGGTATTCGCAGGATAATTTCTTCAATTCTGACTTCGGCCGATAAGAGTGCAGTGTTCAGCGTTATGTGGTGTTTTACCAAAATGTGAAGATTACCTGTCCAATTTCTTGGAAAGAATTGGCAGGCTGCAGGGAAATTATCAGTCTGATTATTTCTCCTATCACTCTTCCGAACAATAGAATTGGGGTATTCAACGTCCCGTGGACCAATCAGACGAGAATTATATCGAGAACTGCCTTCCCTCCTTGGCTCGTCCAATCAGAGCGCAGTATTCTAGGTTACGTGACACTGTCATGTGGGTTTTATTTTGAGAATTCTTCCCAACCCCATTTTAGCCAAATTATTTTATGTAGTCAACACGGTATTCAACTGATAATTTTTGATAATTCAACTGGTAATTTTTCATGTTGATATACATGAAAGACAAAAGATTTCCTAGTCGAATGAGCTCCCCATGGGGACTGACTCTTGGCTGAAATTTGGATGGAAAAAATTCTCTTCCGAATACCATTCGAGCTTCAAAATTAATCAGGTATTTCTCTCAAGATTCGCTGCATACAAACGAACTCGTCAAGTTTTTCAGGAAAAATCAATCGTGCTTCGCACTCGTGATTTTTTAATATGAAAATCTTGACTCCTTCGTTTGTTTGCAACGAACCTATCGAGTAATCCCTGATAATTTTGAAGCTGTTGTGGTATTACATATGATAATTCACTACGTCACTAGGTTCACTAGGTTACTAGTGAATTATCAAAATGATGATAATTCCACAGCTGCCTATCGATTCCTATCTCTGATTTTGATATTTCCATTTCTGAAACCAAGCTTGTGTGAGGATGTGTTGATTTGATTCCACATAAAGAGTCATTTAAAATGAATCGATTTGGACAGAATTCTCTACGACAATTTTGTTATATATTTTTTTTATTTCTGTGAGATTTTCGTGTTAGGTGCCAAGCGACCGCGACCATTAGACTCTGATTTATTTTATTGCTGATTGAGTATTGGGCTCTGATCGGTCGATCCCAGGAGAAAAGAAATTCTCCGAATACCCCTCGATCTTCAAAATTCATGGGATATTTCTGCCAAGTGTTCCTGCGTATCAGCGAGAGGGATGAGTTTTTGTAAAATTCATCCTTCTCATTGTGTGCAACGATGCTATAGCAAAATATCCCAATAATTTCTCGTCGCTCGGTAATTTTCCCGTTGTCAAGCAGAATGAAAAAAATTGTCGATTATACCACGATGACACCGAATACCACAATTCTATTTATCGAAATGGTGATGTGGGAAATGATCCGCCGAATACCTCTCGAGCTTCAAAATGAATCGGAGTATTTCCCTCAAACTTCTCTCCATACAAACGAATAAACTGTCAAATAGAAAATTCGATCTGAAATCAGCCGAAAAAGTGAAGGGCTACTACGAAATATTCAAAAGCCAGGAAGAAATATTCGCATTTAATACCACTCGAGCTTCAAAATTATCGGGTAATTCCCGATAGGTTCATTGCAAACAAATGAGAGTTTGCTTGCACTCTCACAAGTGCTCAGGATTTTTTAACCTGCGACACTTGACGCTCGTTTGTATGCAGGGAAGCTTGAGGGAAATGCCCGAGTCATTTTGAAGCTCGAGTGTTATTCAGCGGACTATTTCCTTCTTCAGAATTTCGATCAAAAGAATTGTTTGCCAATAATTTTCTTAGTTGCCATGGGTAAGAGGGTATAACCGAAAATTATCGAAATAAAACCATGTTACTTTCCCGAATGCAATGATTCTATTGATCGAGATTCTGAAGGAGGAAATAGTCAGTAAAATTATCAATAAATTATCAGTTGAATTTCGCGTAGGCTATGGCACTAGTAACTTCGAATTCTATTGGCTGAAATTTGAATTGGAGAAATAATCGAAATGAAACTGTCGGCCAGCTTCAAATACTGCCTTCTGATGAGTTGAAATCAGATTGGAAAAAATACTTAATGTAATACGTGTCACGTTACTTCAAATGCGGCATTGTGATTGTTCTCCAAATCACTCATCTGCAAAATGAATAGTTATTTTGCTTCCTTACTCAAAAGATTTTCATAATAATAACCCTTCACTTATCTTCTCAGACGATTGTGGAACCTCTTCAATTAATTCTCGCTCCTTCATAGAGTCTTACACTGCTATCTGATGAAGCTTGCGATAGGCAATACTTTATGGTTTATTTCACAATATCTCAAAAGATAATTATTTTTATTGTTTTACACTGAATATTTTCCTTTCATAATCCGTTAATTGATTAAGTATCCACATAAAATCAAGGGAGCTGGAATAATTACCACAAAGACCCTATTGCCACGCCAATTGAGATTTAAATTGGAGTTCATCGAACTGTATTTTGAGGATTGATGAAAAAATATGGTAAACTGTAGAATATATCTACAGGAATTTATACTTTCAACATTGAGGGATAAAAGATATTCTATTGCATTTTCAGAAACAAATTAATATCTTAAAGATTAAAATTGCGTAGAATGTGAATAGCTGAGTTCTATGATGTATGTAATGTAATATTAACAAACAATTGACTGCCGAATTAAGAGGCACATCAGTGAATTACTGAAAAATAAAAGTTTTATAGTGATTTTTCCCTCTGAGTATCATTAATTTTTACCACGCTGAAATCACGAAGACGTTTACTGGGGTTTGATATTTTTTTACCTTTTAAATACAGCTAGGCGGTAGGAATATATTTTCAATTGAGCACATACTTGGTTCTATTAGGTAACTGAATTTTTTACACCGTAAAAATTATTTTTCATGTGCAACCCACCGTTATACAATTCGATTGTATTTAAACGTTATTTAAATTTACCGTTGTCTTCTAGAAACAGTGAATTCATGGCAGAATTAAAGTGGTGGTTATATGAATGGTGGAGAAGCTCGTTTTGAATGTATAAAGTGGAGATATTATCGAGCCCCATAAAGTTGGACAGCCAGGGTCCTCGGACCAACATGGCGATTATGCCTAAATTATCTGCTTTTTATCTGCTTTATTTCTGCGCAAACAAAAAAAATCTCCGTTATGATGGGCATCACAGTCAACAGTCGAAATTTCTTCAGAATTTGAAATTTAATATTAGGTATATGGATAACTTAATATCTATATTATCCCCGGGCTATTTTACACGGTCAACCTTAGATGTTTTTAAGGCATAAATTACTTGGAAAGCGGGATGCTACATGCTATCCATCGACTTTCCGGACCTCTATATGAAGGAAATAATTAAATAATTATCAATGCACAAATTAAGAAATTCGAAGGCACACGGGCTCGAACATAAGTGGGATATGATCCCACATATTCTGTTTGCCCGACAGGTGTTCTGCTTTTTTTTAAATTTGTTTGTAAAGGTTTGTTTATTCATAAGTAACCATATCAATCTGGTGGTACAAACAGTTTTTGCAATGAAAAATACCAACATTTTTATCTTAATGAAGTTTTGTCTAATTATATTCAGAATCTCAGATTTCTCATTTCTTTGAACGTTAATAGATGCATTTTTTTATCAGTTATCAATAATAAAGCCGTAACTAACAATATCGGCTTTGTCAACAAATTTTGTATTTCTAGGTGAAAAATATTTTTTTGTAAAAAAAACACCCGAATCAGGATACCTTTTTTTTTCTTCTTAGAAAAACTAACTTGAAATTAACTTAATGAGCTACTATTTGACCTACTATTCCGAGCTGAGATTGAGTATTGATGGTTCAGGAACAGCGGTGAGAGTATTTCCAATTAGGAAATATCCTGGAGTCAATGCTGATACGTCCGCTAGATCTTTGGTGAGAGGACAGAGAGGTCTTGAGTTGAGGACCGCCTCAATCTGAGTAAGAAGAGTCGTAAATTCCTCGTACGTCAGAGTTAAGTGTCCGATGATGCGTTGCAGATGATGTTTCACTGACTTGACGGCTGCTTCTCACTTACCACCCATATGTGTAGAGTAAGGACGGATGAATTTCCATTCAGTTCCATCAGCGGCGAGTCTTGCAGCTATCTCTGCATACTCCCTTAATGCTGAGTAAAAGAGAGCACTCAACTCACATTGAGCTCCCACAAAGTTGGTGCCTCTGTCACTGGTGATTGTCGCGCAAATACCTCTTCTGCTGGTAAAGTGGTTGAATGCTGCAAAGTTCTAGATGAATGACCGATGTTGCCAGGCAGATAAACACACTGATGTATCTCTTGGATATCTTGATGCTTGCTCCTGATCGTCCACACCTCAGAATGTTAAAAGATCCAGCAAAGTCGCCCTCTGAGTGGAGAAAAAGTCTGGATGGTGTCACGTCTGAATGGGTATTACCTCATTAATTGTTGGACTCTGATGGCTCGATAACGTGCGCATGTGATGCATTTGATGGTATGAGATCGTACTGGGGCGTGTCCGCCCATGATCCAGTACTTCTGTCGGATGTGAGCCAAGATAAGTTGAATGCCTCCATGGAAACTGCGTTGATGAGCGTCAGATACGATTAGTGATAACTTCGAGTGACTCGGTACGATCAGAGAATGTTTCTGCCCTGGGTCCAAGGTTGTATTCGTCAGTCTTCCACCTATGCAAAGAACTCCGTCATTGTCGAGGAATGGAGTAAATGTTGACATTCGATGGTTTGCCGGCAGTGTCCCTCCGATCGTGAGGATGTTGATGGCCGCTTGAAAGTGTTGATTCTGCGTATATTTGGCCTAGTAAATTCTAGCCTCCTCGATTTCTTGAGGCGTGATAATTGGCGATTCTGGTACCTGTTGATGTCGAAAGCCTTTGATGACTCGATAAATTGTCGCTGATACCCTCAGCAATTTTGTTAGCGATGAGTAGCGATTGATCAGATCGTTGTTGTCGTTGATGCGCACTGGATAAGATCTCGCTGTTGAAGATCGTTCCTCGAGGGCAGCCTCAGTTGCTGCATTGAATGATGATGGTGGCCATTCTTCTTGGGGGATTGTTGGGCAGAGTGATCGACTCCACCGGAGATGATTTGCTGCTAACGATTATGGTGATATCCCTCTTGAAGCACAATACGCTGGATTTTCGGTACCGTTGATGTGCCTCCACTTTGCTGAAAGCAAGATCTCCTTGATTTCGGTGACTCTGTTCTGTACAAAGTCTTTCCATCTCGATGCGTGGCCATTGATCCAGGTGATGGTCACTGAGGAGTAGCTCCAGAGGTGAATTTCCACATTCTCGATCTCCAAAACCTTGAGAACGTGGGCGCCGAGTTCGGTGAGTATCAATGATGGAGTTGGCTCTAGCCTGGGGATTGTAAATTTTTTTCAGAGGGGTTAGTTTCGTTTTAGCATAGACGAGAGTAACGGTCGGTTCCGACCCTGGAGTTGATCGAAGATAGACTGCGGCACCCATGGCGACGTTCGATGTGTCAGTAAATCCATGCAATTGTATGGTTGCAGAGTCTGACGAGAGATAAAGCTATCATGGAATGAATAATTGATCCAGTTAGTGAAGTTAGTTTCTGAAGATTCGCCATCGATTAC